ATCACACACCGCGGGAAAATCATAAAACAACAATCCTAAAATGGGAAAATCATAAAACAACAACCCTAAAACATGATTAGCACATTCACTGGAGAGAACAAGTTGGGTAAGGGTGATTGGTTAGTACAAGAGGGGGATTTGAGCTTATTGGTTTAATTCACAAGGGGAGTACGTGCTGAACTACTTGGTTTCCCACCATGTTATCAACCACCATAAACTACTGGGAGGGTCATCTGGCATCCCAGGTATTTTCCCTGTCTCATGCTGATTGGTGGTTGCTAGGGGTTTGCTATGGGTCCTCACTTAGCCTGACTGAGTCAGGGACACCTGGTGCCACAGATCTCTCCTTTTATTTGCAGACAAACAACTTAGCAGGGTGGGTATGTGCCTAGGAGTGCTCTGTGGGTGTTTCCAAGGACAAGAGCCATGCCCCCTTCCTTGGACAGGCTTTGCTCTGGGGTAGAGGCTGGTTTCTCAAAAAAAGAGTCACATCAGTTTCTCACTGCAAATTCGTAATTCAACTATCTTTCCAAGTCTACAAATTCACCCATCCCCATAAGCATTTCTAAGGGGGTTTCAGTATTTTGCTTTCGATTTTTCTCTGCTTGCTCCGTACCATAATCTGTCCAGTAGAATTTCCAAAGTAGGAAATCTCCACTGCTTAAAYAAGAGCATGCAATAAAAAATCCAGTCACTCAGAAGAAGAGGCTTGTGGMAAACGGACTCAAGCAAGCTTTGTACAAATGGCGAATTAGGACCATATACATCACAAGTGTTTTTTAATGCCTTGATAGTTTTGAATGGTATTACAGCATGGACGTGGACACTYTGGTCTTGGTTGTTAACCTGTTCAAAAACTGAAACTCACTAATGTCCTCTCTGCCTCTTGAGCTCTCCTGAACCCATGTTGTAACAGTGTAAAGAAAGTCATTGAGAGCTCAGAGTACCTGTTAAAATTTGTTCTCCCACCTGGAAGCACTGAATCTGAATAGCTGGAACAGGTCCTGCTAGACTTAATCTATTAAAATTTCCTGGTAATTCCTGGATTTCATTGTCTGACTCATCTCCCTAGGTCTGAGACTCATTTGTGCCTTCATCCTCKTCGTCATCTTTGTTTCATTAGCAAGACTCTTAAGTAAAATATATTTTTTTAAAAGATGTTGGGGATGTGGCTCAGTGGTTCAATCCCAGGTCAAAAAAAAAAAATCAACAAACATGAAAAGAAGCTCAATTTTACTTCACAAATAAAAATTAAGATTATACTRAACAATTTTTACTTTTTTTACTTTTAATAAAAGATTGCCAGAAGATATTTTGGTATGCTTGCATATACTTTTTCAAGCATACATATGCAAAAACAATTTGCTTCCCACTTTTGGCAGAGGATGCTATTAAGAGTCTTTATAAATACACAAAAATGTGGGTAGTTTTTGTGTGTTGTGTGTATATGAATAAAGGTTTTGGACAGTTAATGTTAATAAAACCTATTGTGACCACGTGTGCATGCATCCCTAATTTTGAAAATCCATAATGCTCCAAAATCTGAAACTTTTTGAGCACTGACATGACTTGAAGTGGAAAATTCCACATCTTGAAACTTTGTTTCATGCACAAAATTATTAAAATCATATAAAATTACCTTTAGGATGTGTACATAAGGATATATGAAACATGAATTTTGTTCCATCTCCAAAATATTAAGTATATGCAAATATTTCAGAGTCTTAAATTATCTGTAACACTTCTGATTCCAAGCATAAGGAATACTCATCCTATATTTGAGAAGAAACCACCCATGTGCTTTATATTCATGCTGAAAGAGCTGTTCTATATACTCAGAATTATGTAGGATAACATGAAATYATCCTAATGGAGTCTACTTCGATGTAAGATTTTTTTTTCCTTTTGGTAGTTTTAGATAAACAGCATGATTTTATTTTATTTGCTTATGTTTTTATGTGGTGCTAAGGATCGAACCCAGTTCCTTTCACATGCCAGGCAAGTACTCTACCACTGAGCCACAACCCCAGCCCAACTTTGATGTAAGGTCTTAATAGGTTATTGATTATTATGATAGCCAGAATCGATTGAATTTTAAGTATTAAAAATGGTGTTCTGGGCTGGAGTTGTGGCTCAGTGGTAGAGCATTTGCCTAGCATGTGTGAGGCACTGGGTTTGATCTCAGAACCACATAAAAAAGTAAAGAGATTGTGTCCATCTACAGCTAAAAATCTTTTCTTAAAAAACATGGTATTCTTAAAATAAATATGTAGAAAATCAAGTTCTCAGTAGAAGTGTTTTTGTTTTGTTAATACTTGAATTTTTGGATCATTATTTTTTATACATTTCTTTTACATTTTTAGTCGTAGTTGGACAGAATATTTTTATTTTATTTTATATGGTGCTGAGGATCAAACCCCAGGACCTCACACGTACTAGGCAAGTGCTCTACAGCTGAGCCCACAACCCAGCCCCTCTTATACATTTCTTGAAATGATATTTCTATAAATGACATATGGTTTCTTTGAGAAAAAGTGATGATCTTGGTCACAAGGCCAAAATTAGTGAAACATTTAGGGTTACACATGGATGACAGTTAAACAAGTTCTAGATATAAGGTAAAGGGAAAGAAGCTCATAAATTTGGTAATTGTCCTTGAACCATACAACTTCCAGTAAGAATGAGATTGGCCAGGCATGGTGGCACATGCCTAAAATCCCAGAGATTTGGGARTTTGATACAGGAGRATTGAGTTAGAGCCCAGCCTGGACAACTTAGATCCTGTCTCAAAAAMTAAAAAGGGCTGTGAGTATAGCTTGGTGGTTGAGAATCCCTGGGTTCAATCCCCAATACTACAAAAAAGAAAAAGAGAGATTAACTTCTGAACTTAAATTCTGAGGTAAAATTATATGAATTTATAAATATTTATGCTTTTATCCAAAACAGTTTTAAAAATTTGATACATACAGTATTTATTACCTAACCCTAAAATGAAAATCTAAACTCAGGGTTGGGAAACAGTTAAAAAAAAAAAAAGTATTGGGGGTACAGAAATTGTACTGTATTCCATGAATATTTTGTATCAAGTAAAAACAAAAACAATTTATAGAGTTACAGTGGTATATTTTTAATGGTAAATATATGAATTAATTATTTACATAGAAAATCTCAGGCAATTAGTCAAAAGCAAAATAAATAGATTATTATATGTGTAATTTTGAAGTAGTTTTAGAATTCAGGATCTGAGCCATGTGTAGTGGGCATACCTGTAATTTCAGCTACTCAGTAGGCTGAGGCATGAGGATTGCAAGTTTGAGGCTAGCCTGGGCAACTTAGTGAAACCCTATCTAAAAAAGAAAAAAAAAATTAAAAAGGGCTGGACTATTTCAGTGATAGAGTGTGAAGCAAATTGATAAAAACATTCTTGGTGTTTTATGGTAATCTTTGAAGTGTAGTTTTCTTTCTGGTAAGACTGATTAATAATGTAATTTAGAAAAGAATCAAATGTAAACCAACTAAAATGTATCACTACACAGTAACACATGAAATTCTAATGTCTGTAGCCTGGTCTTTATAACCACTTTAGTAGTAATTAATGTGATACATTAGTGGTATCTGTACATGGTTTACGGTTTACTAATGTGTTGTTATTGTACTTTTTTTTCTTTTACGAAGCCRTCATCTCTCTTAGCATATAAAATAGCAGAACAAGATTTTTCCTATTTCTTCCCTGATGATCCACCTACAATTATCTTCAGTCCTGCTAACAGAAGAAGAGGGAGACCTCCCAAGCGAGTATCTGTTAGTCAAGTAAGTGAGAAGAAGCTAAAACTATATTTTACTTGCTAATGAAACATTATTCAGAATCAAGAGCAATGTTTGGTTCCTGTCAGCCTGTAGTCTATAAGTAGAAAACCATTACTGTACACAAGAAAAATGTATGTGTGAACTGTGTGTTGATAGCTGCTCAGCCTTAAGGTTTGGAAARGCTTTAAGAGTGAATTATATACACTGTTTTCATGCCATATGATTTTTTTGCCAAGATGAAGCAAGCATATAACCAATTACTGAAATGTAAAGCAGAATGAAATGTAGGGACTAAATTGTGAGATTGAAGTGTAAAGAGAAAAAAATTCTGATTGGAGGAAATTATGGAGTACTTTAAGGAATAATACTTGAGCTAAACAGTATACAAGATTTCTAATGATTAGGCAAAGAAGTGGGAAAGGTGTTTGAGGTATGAAAAAAAGATCACAAGGGATTTGGGGACTCTTGTAGGGCATCACTGAGTAGTGAATATAGTATGATTGATCTGKTAGTACAGAGAGAAATATAATGGGAAATGAGGCAGAAAAATCTGTAGTTAGTCTTGAGGTTCTAATTTCTCTGTCAAGTGGTTCTAAAATGTTCTTTTCATAAAAATATTCATCTTGCTTAAATATTTAATTATTTGTTTTATGTACAGGCTGAAAATAGTCTTTAACCAAAAACTGATGGTCTAAATTCAAGCAAATAAGAATGTACTGATTCAATGTATGTAATGAAAGACTTCAGAATGTGAAGTAAATCTTCCCTAAGAAGTTTTAGAACAAAAGGGGAAAAGGCAATATAGGTTGATGTGTTTAATTCTGTGCTTACTCCCTAGCAATAAGGAATTATTCTACCACAAGTCATTGCCATTTCTCAATTCAGAGAGCAATGACATTATGAAAGTTTCTGAAATTGGACAAACTAAGAAACCAATGCAGCTGTCTTAAGTTGAAGGAAATTTATTTTGGATTATTCTAATCCTTTAATTCCATTTCTGTGTTTTTATTTTCTCATACCCTTATTCTATGAATTCTGTTTATTCTCTTCTGCTAGTTAGGGATTGCTAATGGTTATAATCATTTACAGTTAGATTCTCACTGTTTCTAAGTATAGTTTGCAGCACAGTCAGCATGATTTAGAAATTTATTGAGGAGTCTTTCAGAATCATTTCCAGGCTTCAGTTAAGTGGTCAAAAGAGTTGCTTGTGCTATAAGAGGAATAAGCAAAACAAGATTTTTCTTACTTCTTCCCTGATAAAAAACCTTAGCTGGGGAATTCTGTTTTTCTTTCCTTTAGACTGTGTCACTCTTCTCAGTAACATCTATCCTAGATGAAGTTTATTTCCTTCTTCCAAATAATTTTCAATATAATAAACTACTTTTTATTTTATTCCTACTTTATATCAAACAATTTATTGTGTATATTCTTTAAGCCTCATGATAGCTCTTCAAAATAGGCAGGATCCCATTTTATAAATGAAGAAAGATTCCATTCTCAAAGTGAGAATATAAAAGCTGGGATTTGAACTGGAATTCAAAACTGGTCCCTTGTTTTGATGATGTAGTGGTATTGATACTATTATTCACAAGATAATTAAAGTTAGAATCATTCATTACCACTTTTCCTTTCTAACACCAACTGAATTTTAAGTCTTTTTGGCTGTTTAGTCTTTCCATTTTAGAATTTAGCCTAATTTTTAGATTTGGAAAGTGTTTATTCAGAACATTGAGCTTCAGCTATAACAAGCTTTTCTATATTTCATTTAAAATCTGACTTACCTGCTAAACTATCTATAAGGAAAGGAACCAAATCTATCTTGTTTTTCACTATGATTAGTATTGTGCCTGACCCATGCGAAGTACTCAAATATTCACATGAATTATTTGTTTTATTATATTTATAACATAATAAGAATATTATACTTGTTAAGCAATTTAGAGACATTCTTACAAGGAATAAAGTAAAATTTTGACATTGTTTAACAGTGGCCACAAAAATGTTTCTGACATGTCTTTTCTCTGTCTTTTTCATATTTGATGTTTACCCTATCTAGTTTATAAAATAATCTGGAGGATTTTTGTTTTTCTAATGCATATTTCAAGACTGTATACTACCGGTTGTTTTTCCTGGGATGATACTCTGGTAATTCATAGAGCTATGGTATTAACTTATGTTCTGAGTATTATTCTGACTGGAGTTATTAAAAGTTCAGTTATACTTTAGAGTAAAAAAMTCATTGTAGTATGAAGAAGGTGTCTTTTTGTGGACTTTTAAATTTTGTTTTTTATTCTTACTTAGTTAAGATCCAGGCAGACCATCAGTTTATATAAATTTCTGGTTTATAAGTTTAGTTTCATGGTTTGTTTTTTAGGAAGACAACTTTACTAATAAACAGAGTATCATGGGTTATAGGAGCAAAGCTATTAAAGAAAGAGATAAATTTTTGAAACAAGAAGAAATGAAGACACTGGGTGAGTTTTAATATCTCCCTCTAAACTCTTTAGAACAAGAAAGAATATTTCTCGTGGGCCCAAGTGGGAGACATATTTCTGGTTGTTGTTGTTTTTTTTTTTTTCCCAGAGTAAGTATTTTTTACCCTCAGATAACATCTCAGAAGTAGGAATTTCCAGAATTTATAAACATAGTATGTTTGATTCGCATAGCCTTTTAAAACATTGCTTCCCAAACTTGAATGTTTTGRGAAGCAATATTTTAAAAGACTTGTTAAAATAAGGGTTCTTCTTGGGCTGGGGTTGAGGCTCAGCAGTAGAATGCTTACCTGGCACGTGTGAGGCCCTGGGTTTGATCCTCAGCACCACACAAAAATAAAATGTTGTGTCCATCTACAACTAAAAAATAAAATATTAAAAAAAAGGTTTCTTAATTAATAGGTTTGTGTGAGGGCTAAAATTCTACATTTTTTTTCAAAGAATAAATCAATTTTTTTAAATACATGACAGCGGAATGCATTACAATTCTTATACATACACAGTATAAATTTTCATATCTTTGTATATAGAGTATGTTCACGCCAATCGACGCCTTTATACATGTACTTTGGTTTTTTTTTTTTTGAGTTACAATTCCTTTTACACATATATACCACAATTTTTCATATCTATTTATATATAAAGTATGTTGACACTCAATTCGAGTCTTCATACATGTATTTTGGATAATGTATCCATCACATTTCACCTCCCTTGCTAATCCCCTGCCTCCTTCCTTCCCCTCCCACCCCTCTGCCCTATCTAGAATTCATCTAATCCTCCAATGCTCC